GCTCACAAGTGACCACATCACAGGAGGATTTCTCCACAACTCTGGCTGTCGCCTGATGATGCTGGTTGGTGTAATTACCGGCGAAACGTCACGGTACTGGAATTGTAAATGTTGTGGCGGGTTTGTTCTCCAACACACAACCGGTGAGCTGAACTAGCAACTTATTGCCACGTTTTGTTTGCGTGACAAACCTCACGAATTAGCTGTCGGGTGGTGGCGGGTTTAACGACACATTTATATTTACGCGATCTAGCCCCCCCTCCCCCCCTAAAAAAACCCCTCTATTGTTGAAATGTATCTTTGTGCTCCTGGAATATTTTAGAATAATGGAGTAGGCTAATGAGGTACAGTAGTTTAACACGTAGGCTTTCGCGACCAATATTATTCATAATAAAGGTTTTTGGGTTAGATCGCGTTTATTTATAAATGTGTCATAACCCTCCAATGTTGCAGTGGTGTGTAAAACTAATTATTACTGGCAAAGACTAATTAGAGAATCCATTGAAATTGAGAGGAACAAGAATAACTTTAATCGCTCTGACAGCTACCGGCTTAGTGCGGCCTGGAAGCGTATTATTAAATAATACACATTACATTTTGATTTAAAGAATTACTAATCTACAACTCATTACTAATCATAACCAATGACTGATTACTAATCGATTATATTATTACATTACCCCCCCCCTCCGCCTCTAATCACTGCACCTGATGAGTTAAGTGATGACGTCACCCTGCTGCTCTATATAAAACCGGGAGCGAGCGAGGGCTTTACCATTCTGGCGAATTGCTTGATGATGCTGGAAGTATTTACCAGCGAAACGTCGTACTCAAACTGTAAATGTGGATTAACTCTTCAACACACCGGTGGGCTGAAGTAGTGAATTATTTGTCTTTTGTCAACGTGACACTTTTTTTTGCTGATTGGCCGTGTCGGGTGGTGGAGGGTTACGACACATTTATAAATAAACGCGATCTAACCCAAAAACCTTTATTATGAGGTACAGTAGGTAAACTTTACTGTATATTTAAAATATCGTGGCGGTTAGTAACTATTTATTCATTCCACTTGCTTACACACGAAGTCCTCACCTGAGTCCCAAGCCGCTCTCAGGAGGGTCCTTCCTCGTTTTCGCAGTAGGGGGGCGATGTTGTTGCTGCTGCTGTGTAAGCCCAATCGAGTCATCTGCAGGTAATTATTCAGCATTGCGATGTTTGGCCAATACCGGTTACTGTGTGTTTTTTTAAGCTATGGGAGGTGAGCGGTGTAAAATAAGGGGAGAACATACACCATCCACACGGAAAGGCATCTGGGCCAGGAATCAAACCCAGGGTTTTTATTTTTTGCCGCTAGCCAAATTGTTACCACTGCACAACCTTGAGTTAGGGTTAAAAACTGACTAACGTTGCATCACTGTGACAAGACTCGTTTAAGAGATTCACATTGAGATCAAACTCACTGTAAGCTGTAGTAAGAGGATCACGTTTTACAAATAATGGATGGATAGGGCAGTGAGTTTCTTTGCATAAAATACATGTTGTATGCCTCTGCCTTCTGGACCAATGTATCTCAGCAGCGTGATTTCAAGCAGGCAAGCCCTGCACCGAGTTTGACTTTCAGGGTCTCATCAGCAAAGTCAGGCCTCATCTTATTGGTTCTTTCGGTAAAGTCACATAGAATGGAAATAACTTTCATTTTATTGTTTATTTCCATTCTACGTGACTTTACCGAAAGAACCAAGAAGATGAATCCCTGCAGTCACGATTGCTTTAAATCGAAAGTGAGGCCTCTTCTGAATTTGTTCCTGCCAACGCGTAACTTCTGCCGTGTGGGAAGTATCAATATATATGCCGTGTGAAGTATCAAGTATCAATGGCCGTATTTATTTGTGTACAGTACACGAAGGTAAACAAAACGCAACCTTTGGAATATTTAAAACAAGAGTTTTATTTCAGGCTGAGCAACAGAATGTCATCGTAGACATGGCATGACTGCATTTCGAGTACAGTGTATTGGATTATTCACTTTCAATTGTCCATTATTGAAAAAAATAAATCCCATAAAATTTGATTGGTCTCTTTAGCTACTCATTCAGGACCACCCAGTGATTCTTGGATAGCATTCGGTCGCTGTTGCAACCGTACGACTTGCACCTCCTTCCGTGACTGCCTTGGATTGGATAAACACTTGTAGCTGGTGTGATGCCCACCAACATTTAATCGTGCCAAGTCCAAAAGCCCCCACAGAAATCCTGACATATAGCGTGACCGCACAACACACGTACAAAATATTACTCGGATCGTAGGTGCGCTGGATTTAGTAGGGTGTTCTTGTTCGACGTGTTTATATTATTACAAAATAATAATAGCACTAAGAGGGTTAGCATTACAGTACAAGTGTTTACAATATGCAACGCAGATATAACGGTAGGTTACTAGTGGAGAGCCCCAGGGTGGTTACTGCTGTTTCTGGTAATCACAGATCACAAGTATCACACGATCCACTCTTTCCTCTGCACTATTGAAATCTGAATGTGCTTGGAATGGACAATATTGGGTTTTTTTTCAATCAACTCATAAGTTTACACGGTCAACTTCGTTAAGAGCATCAACCGGGTGTAAATACGAAACTTATGCATTTCCCAGCGACAGATCCTACTCGTCGACGAAATTAGTGAGCAAGCCGTTCCCAGTGTTGTCAACTTTGAGAAAATGCAGTAATAAATTCTCGAGTAGACGATCGTGTGAATGTGCCGCTTGGTCTCAGGTCATTCACCCTCGTAATTTTGCACTTAAGTCAACATTTCCAACAATTTTCTGATTGCAAAGTAAATTATCACGCAAAGGGGAGACAAAGGCAGACCTATCTGCACCCCAGAAGTCGCTTGACAATGAAATGTGCAAGGAATCTGGTTATTTGCAGACCCTAATGAAGGCGATTGCAACCAAATTTTTGTTTAGAATGTGTATTGCATGTTGTGATATTATTGTCTTTTAGCGTTCGCATAACGCTAACACAAAACGGTTCAACTTAAGCTTACGTATCAACACATTGGATTCAATACATTGGATACATTGGATTCAATACATTGGATTCAATACATTACCCATTAAAAATAATCATACCTAAACAAAGTTCAATGTAAGAAGTCTAGTTTTATTTCTCATAGAGTAAATTGAAATAAGCTAGGGGAAAAAAACGTAAAATACTGCAAAAATAGCTAATTATAATTAATATGTTGCACATTACTTTTCTGAAGCACAATATTATGGTATTAGTGTCTTAAATTAAATGTTTAAAAATTTTACTTTGTCCAGATATTATATTTGATAGAAAGCTAAAATGAAGAAAATACCTGATAATAATACCTTGCATACAGTGAGGGAAAAACGTATTTGATCCCCTGCTGATTTTGTACGTTTGCCCACTGACAAAGAAATGATCAATCTATAATTTTAATGGTAGGTTTATTTGAACAGTGAGAGACAGAATAACAACAACAAAATCCAGAAAAACGCATGTCAAAAATGTTATAAATTGATTTGCATTTTAATGAGGGAAATAAGTATTTGACCCCCTCTTAATCAGAAAGATTTCTGGCTTCCAGATGTCTTTTATATAGGTAACGAGCTGAGATTAGGAGCACACTCTTAAAGGGAGTGCTCCTAATCTCAGCCTGTTACCTGTATAAAAGGCACCTGTCCACAGAAGCAATCACTCAGATTCCAAACTCTACACCATGGCAAAGACCAAAGAGCTCTCCAAGGATGTCAGGGACAAGATTGTAGACCTACACAAGGCTGGAATGGGCTACAAGACCATTGCCAAGCAGCTTGGTGAGAAGGTGACAACAGTTGGTGCGATTATTCGCAAATGGAAGAAACACAAAAGAACTGTCAATCTCCCTCGGTCTGGGGCTCCATGCAAGATCTCACCTCGTGGAGTTGCAATGATCATGAGAATGGTGAGGAATCAGCCCAGAACTACACGGGAGGATCTTGCCAATGATCTCAAGGCAGCTAAGACCATAGTCACCAAGAAAACAATTGGTAACACACTACGCCGTGAAGGACTGAAATTCTGCAGAGCTCGCAAGGTCCCCCTGCTCAAGAAACATATACATGCCCGTCTGAAGTTTGACAATGAGCATCTGAATGATTCAGAGGACAACTGGGTGAATGTGTTGTGGTCAGATGAGACCAAAATGGAGCTCTTTGGCATCAACTCAACTCGCCATGTTTGGAGGAGGAGGAATGCGGCCTATAACCCCAAGAACACCATCCCCACCGTCAAACATGGAGGTGGAAACATAATGCTTTGGGGGTGTTTTTCTGCTAAGGGGACAGGACAACTTCACCGCATCAAAGGGACGATGGACGGGGCCATGTACCATCAAATATTGGGTGAGAACCTTCTTCCCTCAGCCAGGGCATTGAAAATGGGTCGTGGATGGGTATTCCAGCATGACAATGACCCAAAACACATGGCCAAGGCAACAAAGGAGTGGCTCAAGAAGAAGCAAATTAAGGTCCTGGAGTGGCCTAGCCAGTCTCCAGACCTTAATCCCAGAGAAAATCTGTGGAGGGAGCTGAAAATTCGAGTTGCCAAACGTCAGCCTCGAAACCTTGATGACTTGGAGAAGATCTGCAAACAGGAGTGGGACAAAATCCCTCCTGAGATGTGTGCAAACCTGGTGGCCAACTACAAGAAACGTCTGACCTCTGTGATTGCCAACAAGGGTTTTGCCACCAAGTACTAAGTCATGTTTTGCAGAGGGGTCAAATACTTATTTCCCTCATTAAAATGCAAATCAATTTATAACGTTTTTGACATGCGTTTTTCCGGATGTTTTTGTTGTAATTCTGTCTCTCACTCTTCAAATAAACCTACCATTAAAATTATAGACAGATAATTTCTTTGTCAGTGGGCAAACGTACAAAATCAGCAGGGAATCAAATACTTTTTCCCCTCACTGTATTTCATAAATTCAGTTTATTTGCCACTATTAATACACTGTACTGTAAGCATTGTAGTCAAGGCTTTTCACGTGAAGTCTAGTCCTCAAGAGATGCCCCATCATAATCTCGTGATTTTAAATTAGCAAATACAATGACGTTACTTCTTAAAACTTTACATGCTGTTATTTTTTGCATAGATTTCAGCAAGCAATGGAAGTCTTTTGGGCATAGACCTTAGCTCTTAAAAGAATCATGTAATCAATCTTAGAACATGAAACATTTAAAATGTAAAAATGTTATGCAGAAAACATGCTCACTATCATTATTGTTAAGTACTATCGATTGCATACTTCACAGATGAAAATACATTAATATTTGTGTAGTTTCACTTCTTATGATGCCTCGGTCAAGTAACACGTGAAATCATAAAATAAAATGTTACGTTTATGACTCCTATTGCATTCTTGAACAATGAACTTGTCTATTTACAAACATGTACAAAATGAAAGCATTGTAAGTTTTTGAGGACCTTGTGGCATCGTCTGCAAAGGGAGTACCAGTGATTATGACAAAACAAAAAGTACTCCAACCAGGAAAAGCACCCTTGACCCCACTCGGGAACGTGCCCGCTACATTATTCCTTCTTTCGCAAAAAGCAGTATATGATGCCGCTAAGGAAAGTGAGGGTAAAGGCGACCCACGCTAGGATATAGGAGTAGCCCGGGCCACTGGAGGGCAGATGCTGAGGCTGGAACCAGCCGACGTAAATGGATGCAGCGGTCAAAACGCAGGCACCTGCAAGAGAGAGAGAGGGAGGGGGCACACGAATACGGCACCGACACATTACGCTGGACTTTCATCACAAAAATATGAATGCAGAAAACAAACTTGTTAGGTGGGTGGCTGGGCGTATTGGGTGGGTGTGTTTGTTGTTGAAATACAAGTTCATAGAAGTTGCGGAAAGTCATAAATGTTTCTGTGTAACTACACCCTTCAATTACAGACTAATTGGCTAATTGGAGGGTTGTTTACGGAAATATGGTTTTCCTCGGACCTTAAAATATTCTATGTTTTTAGGGACTTACCACAATGACACATTTTACTTCCTCATGGAAAAACAGATGTTTGCACCAAAGAGGCATCTCACCTCTCCTTCACATTTTAAACAACGGAATAAATTTTCACCTGAACGTGGAAGGAGCAAGAAACAATGTTCCTAACCATAAAAAATATCCCGTATATGTCCACAGTGTGAATAAACAACATATTGCTTTATTGCTTAATGATGACGTCAAATAACTGTGTATTAATGCTATCAATTAATTACAACAGCTGGTTTTATACATTTGTTAAAAGTAACTGCCGCAGCTTCAAGGAAGGTCTTGCGGTTGGTGGTGAGTTTTTTTTCACGAGGTCCTCTGTGTGAACTCAGCCGTTTGCTGGGAATGTACGAGTTTCTCCTGGCGCGTTCCATTGCTTAGCCGTGACGGCGAGGTGGGATTCATCATGCAAACAGAAGCGTAAAAATATTTAAACAGGATGCCGAAATATTTCCCCAAAGAGAGGAAAGGTAAGGCAAGCCTCCTGCAAGGCAGTTTCTGCTGCAGAGAAGACCACGTTGGAAATAAAAGTTACAAATCAAAGTTGGAAGTGGGGGGGGCTTTCCACGTTGGACTGCACTCGTGGGCCTATTTGAGCCCACGTGGGCAAACACATTCGCCCCCTCCTTAGCATTGGCAACAATTGCTGACATGTACCCAAAGCTGCCTCCATGTAAGAATGCCTCTGCCCACACAACGCGAAAATGCGGTAGGGATTTTTTTACAAATGCGTGTGCACATACGACGGCTTTGCGCAAGTGCTGAGCAGACCAAATGTAAGCAAAAGTTTTACATCGCCCTCGAGGAGAAACAAAATAGGGCCCCTATTCTAATGTCCTTTGTAATGACAGCTACACACTCGGCAATCATTGTACGATAAAAGGGATTTAGCAAAAGGTAACCGTTAATTACTCTTTGGTTTATTCGGTAAAGTCACCTACGTGACTTTATCGAAAAAACCAAAGAGTAATTCCTGCAGTCACGAAAGCACCTAATCAAGTTCGTAACCGTTAATGTTTGATTATGTTCATAAATAGAACTCAACCTGGCTTTTAACTTTTTTATGAAATTGTGTAAAACTGCTGAAGCAGCAATAATGTATCTTATCTCAAATGTATGTTCCTACTCACAAAATAACCAATGCAATTTTGAATGTCTAAGGCCTCAGGGAGGTCTCTTTCCATTGTATGTATAACATTTGTAAACTCCAAAGCAATACATACCACTCTAAATGAAGATGAATACAGCTGCCATTTTTTGTCAAGCTCGCTCTCATTCTACAAACAATATCAGGTCTAATTTTACATGTAGTACCTTGGACCCAAGGTACGTGTTTGGCACCAAAGATATTTGGAGGAAAATAGCCAATGCTGTGGAAATGCCTTCTGCCAACACTCAAATCTTTGTGCTTATGGGGCTGTTTATTTAAATTATTATATTCAGACCCCTTATCCACATATTCTCAACCCTAAAACTCTTAATTGTCCTACCAAGCCACATTTTCCTTTATACAGTTTTTACAAGCACATCTGGGAAGCTTCATTGACAATATTACATTTTTGGTCATATATTCCAATGAGTAATGACTCATGAAATGGAAATGTGTAATGTCCTAAGCGAATGCCACATGGTTTCTGGAAACCACCTACAATATGTATCTTTCATCGTTTAAGTTCGCATACAACGTTGCAGGCTACATTCATTCATCTTGCATCTCTAGAATGTTTTGGTCAATAATTTATTGCTAACCGGGAAGAAATGCATTTTATATTGCTGTCTGAAACAATATGGGGTGGTCTTTTGCTTTTGCTGGATTGTTTCTGCAGCATATCCAAGTGGAGTACATTTCTTCATACCGTTGACGATTTTTGATGTGTAATGAATTAAATGTGGCACTAATAAACGAGATTACGATTTATTATACAAGTATCACACGCTAAAATATGTAACCGTGCCAAGCGTAAGGCAATAGAGTATTGGATTCTTTAATATATCTGTGTAGGGTTGCTTTCAGTAGGGAGGGGGGGGGGCTGGAGGTGTAGGGGGTGGTGAAGTAACTTGCTAATTGTTTCAAACTCCTCACGGGGAGGTCAAAGAGACGACCTCTGGATTGCAAGTCCATCATGCTCACCGTGAGTCCAGGGCTGCGTCTACCCCATACCTCATTGTGGACACGTGCACGTGCTTTGAATGGGTGGCATGTGGCATTACTAACACTACTCTGCGTTCTGTACTGCGCTCAATAAAATTGTACAAGGAGATACACATCAAGCGCAAAGATAAGGCAGATCTTAAATAGTTAAATACTACTTTACAGCCCTTTGTAAATCCACTGATGGATGAAGGCCTCCCAATACCACATCAATCATGGGGTTTGTTAGAGAATGGCCCATCAAAAATAACGATAATGAGCTCACGTAACATCGCGCTAAAATGTCAATACTATAAAAAGACTTGGTAAAGTTTGGTTTGACGAAGCTTTTTAACGGCTCGTGTTCTTAAAACATCCTCAAATAGAATGTCCCTCCTTGTACCTGTAGCTCGCTTGTTTGGCCTAAGCACGCAGCTTTTAGGCTTCCCGGCGAGCGAAGTTGAGTTGTATGGAGGGGGCACTCTGGCGGTTTTTAAAGACGCAACTTATATACTTGATCTATTTTAAGTATTTATTTTTTGTGATTTTCTTTCCTTTCCCATACTTTGCACTCCTTTTCATTGTTTGTATCCTTTGTTGTTGTAACTTTCTGACCCGCCCCTTACTGGACCTCTGTGAAAAGGAGCTTCACAGCTCATCGGATTTCTCAAGGATAAATAAAGATTCTGATTCTAATGACCTTTTTACCTGCGTTGAACAAACCGTACGTAGATTCACCATTATATTACCACTCGGAATCAAGGCATCTGCGTCTTTTCGCAACCGCCACACGTGCGTCTCACTCACACGCCAGAAGCTGCAGCACTCCGGTGATGAAGAATCGGCCGCCCTTCTTCAGCGTGAACAGTTGGCAGACGAAGGCGAAGAATGCGCAGCAGCAGAAGATCACCGACAGGATCATCAGGGCTTGCACCGCCTGAATCCACTCTGCGAACGGGAAGCAATCGTGGCGAACGTCACGAACGTTGGCGACAGGCCGGCGTGTCGAGAGTGCGCACGAGGCTGCGTACGAAATCAGCCTCGACGTGGAGGCAAAAATATCCCCCAAAGAGGCCTCTCCAGAGCCTCCTCTAGCGGAGGGCCCGTCTGCCTGCGAGGGATGTGGGCAAGCAATCGCAGGGCTGCGCCCTTACCTTTTTTGCATATGCTCAACAAGCTCTGGGCGGAATACACAGCAAAGATTAAGTCACTGACAGCGTTGCAGAATCACACGCGCGCGTAGCCGCCAGTGGATACCAGAGAAGGCTATAAACACACTCCCCTTGTCTCTCGCATTCCATGTATTTTTTTAATTAAAACATTTCACCTGGACGGTCCGTTGAGACAGAATACCTCGTTTGCAAGGGTATTAAAAATAAAATTAAAATAGTAACCGTAAAATAATAATATTCAGAGTGTCAAGTGACACAGCAAATACGTGACAGCCGTGTTCAAATGTACAACGTATATATAGAGTGTATGTTTGTACAATGTCAACATGTATTTACACCACAGTCGAACACGTGAATGGAGAAAGCATTGTGCACACTTCTGGTACATGCACAATGCACCCTTTATCGGCAACCAGCGCTTTTGCAAATGTTTGTGCGAGCGTCGCAATTCAAGATTTCAGTAAAGCCGAGACTCTGGCGGCAACGATTTAACACGTTGGAACATTGCGGGGCGCACGATTTTCCTCCACTCTCCTGCTGCTGCGAAAACACTGAGAACCCCCCCCAGTTCCACCTCCCCCCACGCGCGACTCTCGGTTAACGGTCACCGCTGAGAACCAGATCCTCATCTGTGCTCAGCACCACCGGTCACTAACTCCCGACCAGATGTCAATCAGGAAGTTTGGTCGTTATTGGGGTCAACTACTGGGTAAGAAATGGCGGTCAAACCGCAAATTCCCCCCCTCCAAACCCTCACCCCTCTCCCCCAGCTAAACCTTAAAACGGTCGTAAACACGCCTCATTTTTCTGCTTCAGGCTTGGTATTTGTTGCCGTTTCTGGGTACTTATCCATTTCGTATTATTGCGGAACGTTTTTTTTATCTCTCTCGTTTTTACCGTACGTTGTGGGAATGATAGTAATTTTTATATATTTTCTCGGCAGCGTTAGCTGTGTTAGCTGCCGAGAAAATATACAAAAAAATGGATACATATAATACAAAATAAACCGCAACAAATACCAAGCCTAAAGCAGAAAAATAGCAGCAGCAGGGTATGAATCTCGCACAAGTGCATTTTGTAGAAGTAACGAAGACAGCGAGGAACGGTTTGCATGGCCAACACAAATCCAGAGTGCAGTCAGGACCAGGATGTTACACTCACTCGCCGTGGCACAGAGATAAACGTGTCAACCAGCGTTGGAAATGTGTTTGCGTGTGATCTGCAAACATGAAGCGGATCACTTAACCACTCTCAGCCTTACCCACCAGCAAGCTTCATGTCAGCTAAGGGCAAATGACAATGGGTGCACAGTGGTATTTGTAACATTTGGGTTTTATTAAATACAGTTTGTGCAATAAAATAAGACTGCGGCATTTATTTTTTTAGCCCTTTGTCAATCGACTGCTACGTGAAGGCCGCCCTCGTGCCGTGTTGGCCATGGGGATTGTTTGACCATACTTCACCACGCTGGTTGGTGTGGCTTGGTGAAGGTGGGGAGCATCGTCCTGGGAACATAGGATTCCAGTACTGTACTGTACAACAATGGATTTTGTCGGACCAACCTCTGCTGACCAAAATGTAGCACAGCCCCGAGTATCCATCCAATCTTCAGGTTAAAGTCTGCTTAGCTTGAAAGATCTGACGAAATTGGGCTCATTCTGGGCTATTATGTCATCCATCATTATCAGCAGTGAGCCTTCAAGCATATCCAACGGCTTCATTTCCCATCAAATCTTTTCCAGGGCCACAGCTCCGGATAAAATTAAGCCCCGTGCATATCCGTCTGCGGCGAGCCACTGCGCTGTCAGTAAATACGCCTTGACAATAGCAGATGCCTCGGAACCGTTAGGGAGTGTGAGCTAAGGACACTGGCGTCAATCTTCCAGAGCTCAGTCGTGCTCTGCAGACGCAAACGTGTGCGCCCCGTGTACAATAACGCCCAATAATTGCGTCTGATCCTACAGGAGGTGAGCACGGGCAGATCGGGCCCGGCTTGTTGTCGTCACCGTTTTTGGGCCATCGGAATAACATCTTTTACATGTACGACCTCAGCGTTCGGCAGCAAATCCGTTGGCGGGGTATGTACGCGTGCGTGTGCCCAACCGTTCCTGCGCCCCAGCGAATGCAGCCACACAGCGAGGGAAGGGCCGTGTCCTAAATGGGACTATTCATTACATTTCTCACCGCACCATTCTTCACGATCACCCCCCCCCCCCCTTGGTGGTAGTACTCTCTCTCTACTCTCCTTCTTTGAAAGTCTGCGCACCTCTCCCAACCCCACCTCCCCTCCATGATATTTGTGTTGCCACCTGCAGTGCAGAGCGTGAGATGTGCCCGCCGTAGTACGACGTGGCCTAAAGAACACACCGCCGCCGCCGCAGCAGCAGCAGCAGACACCGCGGTCGACGAGGGGGAATGACCGCGGCTGGCAACGTCTCAACGAAAATGTACGGGGGTGGGCAGGCATTTAGACGCTGCTCGTCGATGGAATTGCCGATAATTATGTTTCAAAGCAAGGCTGCTAAATAACAACGTCAGTTTCGACGTCGTCGTCGTCAACAGCCCTGCCATTTATCTATTGCAGGAATTAAACCTCCCGTTTGTGGACGCCATCCCTCGAGGTCCTGCGACGTCACAAATGATCTCGCACGGCTTCACATCAGCTGCTCACATCACTCCACCTTTGCTGTGGGCATCCTTTTGATCGTGTTCTCTCCTTTTGGCTGCCATTCTGTCATCGCTCTTGTTCATCTGCCATCAACCCTCCATGCGACAAGCGCACTTTACATTCCTTAACAGTCAATGCGATGTCTTTCATTTGCATGTGTTCTGTCGTCCATGTGCACCTCTTTCTACCGCGCCTGCGTGCATCTCCGCATGGTTCTGTACAAATCACATTTTCAGCTCGTGTCATTACTATTTGCCCTTGTGTATGTGTCTGATCCATATGGTGGCAGCAGGTAATGTGAACCGATTATAAAAATAAACCCCTCCTGCTTTAGACACATGCCTGTATTCGACTGAAAACAAAAGAGGGAATGTTTAAATTCACGGGGCATAGCCTTGCTGCCGCACTGTTCACGCCCACTAAGGTGGGGGTGATGCACAAAACCCTCCAAATATTCACGTTGCGGTGCACAAATGACACCACAACAATCGCAATTAGAAAAACCACGCGTGCAGTCGTCCTCGGCTGGAAAGACTGACACCAGTGACATCGCCGCTAGTCAAGTGTGCAGACTGCTGTGCAACTGCACTGGGGTATGTGAGCTGGAGGGTGGGAAATTAGACGGTGGGGCGTGGTGAGGTGAGGCATTTAATTCCCTGCACCAGGACCCATGCCAACCACACTGCACCACTGATGGACACCGCTGTCAGTGTGGTAGACTCTTGAATGTCTTGCTTCAGGGATTTTCCTATCCCCCTTCTGTGCAGGGGCGTCATCGCCGCCTTGCTGTTTGTATGCTGCACGTCGCTAGACGGATGTATGTATGTATATATATGCACATACATGCAATGCTTTTTGCACGCATCGTGTGTGCACATGGCTTTTTTTTCTGCAGCATGTTTGCACTGTGCATGTCGACGGGAGAGGCCGCTTCATGCATGCAGAATAATATTCATCAGATCATCTTCGTAAATATGAGCACTGCATTGAAGGGGAATCGTTTTGAACAATACTATGACGAGGACGAGTCCGTGCGGGTTATTTAAAGTTATGCTCTTAAATATTTTCGCCGCTGCTTATGTATCCATAATTGTAGGGAACAAGAGGGAGCATAGAATTCTAAAATCATTATTGGAATGATTTATTTAAATGCCTTATGTGCACTTTAGACCAGTGCAGTTGCAACCTTGCATTTTATCAGGCATTCCTTTTCCATCACTGGCATGCGGTTTCAGACTACTGATTTTTAAACCAAAACCGTTTCATGCACGCATTCCTTTCAAGGAAACCCCATTGTGTATGTGTATCACATCATCAGTGGTTTCCCCACCAGAACATATAACATATTATGAGATAACCACCTTTGTCATTTTTGATTACAAAAAGTTACATTGTCCTTACAGTTTTTGCAAAACATTCACTTGCAAAATAGAAGTTTTGGGGTTTTTTTCCGAATGGGCTTTCAACGGATAATAACTCCGTGTATTTCACTGGGGGGCATTGTACCGTACTGCGGGAAAACAAACAGTCGTTATTTCCAAGCCAGGAGGCGGGGAGGGCCAGAAACATTGCAATCACCATGTGGCTGCCAGACATCAACTCTGATTTCCAAGTTTGGGAAATCAAGATGTTTTTATTTTTCTTCAAATGAAAACACCAAAGAACCATGATTTCCTGGCCGCGGTACCGAAAACCAGATTCTCGCCCAATGTTGCCAACTGTTCAAAGTATACATTTTACTAATGAACCTCAAAGAGGCACTATATGTCACCAGACAGACCATCTAAAGTCAAAACTGTCACGAGAGAATTCACCAAGTATCAAACGCAGTACATTAATCCTCAATATACACCTGGAATCGCTCATGCATCTGCATAACATTCTAATCGAAGAACGTCTCAAAATGCATCTCTCAAAATCAAACAAATAATTTGCGAAACTGCATTGCCATTTGTGTGCACAAGCACCGAGACATCGGTGTTGCGGCTCCTTGTTCAAATCGTCGTGGGTAGCTGTGACAAAATCTTGTCACTTGTAGGGAAACCCACAAAAAAAGTTGCTCAATTTAGCGACAAAAACGTGGAGTTGGCAATGATGCAAAGTGTCCT